AGGGGACCCTGAGGAACGGCATGAAGGAAATCTGCAGTGGATGGGGGGGGGGCATTTGACATGGCCCATTTAGTCTGGATTCAGCTCCAGGCTGCTTGGAATTGGAGGACTCTACCCTGGTGACAGGGGGATGATGGGTCTCACAATACCTCTCCAATGTGTGGCAGAAAAATAGGCAGGATCCCAAATGGATCATATCTGTACATTTTTTGGGAGAATGTAATAGAATAGCAGGGAGTTTGAAGCCAGGGAGTTTGTGTCCTACAACAGCTAGAGGGTTTGCCTGTAAGCTGGGAGAGACATTTCCGATAACCCATGAACTTGTTGTGCACCCTTGGGCTCCTGGCTGCTCTTTTGTAATTGAAGTTTACTGTATGTGAAAACATCTTACTTAAGTATGAGTTTGTACATATTAATATCTCATGCTGTGTCAATGGTAGATAAAAAGTAATACTGAAAACCAGAAGTTATTAAACTCTTAGTATTATTTGACAACACCATCATACAACAGACATCCACCACTTTCTCCTATTATATGCTTGTAAATTATACGAAACATACACTCAAATATGCAAGGGAAACTGAACTCAGTTACACTGTAAGCTAGTGTGAATACTGCAGTGAAAGAATCAAGAGAATATCTTGTTGAGTACACGAGAAACTGCAAGTTAAAACACTTGTGAAAGTAGCTGGCAACTGCAGAGTTCAGGGACTGTTATGACTACCTTTGATGACGTCACGACCTGGTGTTCAGGCTTTCCAATATAGGGGGTGGTGGCACTGCCCACTCTGGTTCCTTGAAGAGCGGGTGGGTTGGTGCCTTCGATGCCCGCCGGCTGTGATGCGACGGAGCTCAAGGGGGCTGCCTTTCCTCTCTCCCTCTGGCAGGAAGCCCTGATCCACCTGGGTGCCAAGTTCTCCCCATGCATGCGGCAGGACCAGCAGGTGCACAGCTTCATTAGCACCGCCCGTCAGAAGGAGAAGCACTCGGCCTGCTGCGTGCGCAACGACAAGTCCGGCTGCGTGCAGACGGCCGAGGAGGAGTGCTCAGTGAGTCCCCCGCCCGCCCAGGTGCTGGGCTCAGCCGGGTGTCAGTCCGGGAGGGAAGGGGGGCCACGCCGCCGTCCACCCACGGGCGCTCCTTTCCCTTGCAGTCCACCTTGGCCGTGTGGGTGAAGTGGCCGCAGCACCCCAGCGCCCCCCTGCTGGCAGGAGAGAAGCGACAGTTTGGCTCCGTCTGTCATCAAGACCCCCGGTAGGCTCCGCCCCTCCCCCGCCCACTTGGCCCTGGGGGGGGCTCTGCCGGCACCCCTTCCTCCCCTGACACCCCTTCCCTCGGCAGGGTGTGTGAGCAGCCGGCCTCCATGGACCCTCACGAGTGGCCCGACGACATCACCAAGTGGCCGGTAAGGCGGGCCGAGGGTGGTGGGCCCGGGGGGGGGGGGGGGGGGCGGGCCGGGGGGGGCTTCTAGTGTCCTGGCCCCACTGCTGGACCTCCTGAGGGCCCCTCGTATTTTTGGCTACTGTGTGACAGAGTGTTGGACTGGATGAGGATTTCAACAGGGAGGGGAGCCCCCTGCCCTGCTGGTGCCTCTGGATGGGGCGTGACTCACCATTCGAGCTTCTGATGGGCATGCAGGGTGTCCCAGGCCACGTCCTGAACGTCTCAAGGTTAAAGGGGTTGGGGAGGGGAACAGGTGGTGGGAAGGCCCCCTGCCCCCCACCCCCGCTCCGGGCTGACCCCGCTCCGTCTCTCCGGCCGGCTCCAGATCTGCACCAAAAACAGTGCCGGGAACCACACCAACCACCTGCACATGGACTGCGTCATCACCGGGCGCCCCTGCTGCATCGGCACCAAGGGAAGGTGGGTGAGGGCAGGGGGGGGGGGCGTGCGCCGACCGAGCCCCAGGCGCCAGTTTTCCCTGGGGAGGCCCACCCAGGGAACCCAGGACTGGAGTTAAGGCCCCGCCCCCCAAGTATTCTGTGGCCTCTCTCTCCGCAGGTGTGAGATCACCTCCCGGGAGTACTGCGCCTTCATGCACGGCTATTTCCACGAGGAGGCCACCCTCTGCTCCCAGGTAACCCCCTCCCCTGCCACCCCCCCACCCCCTGCATGTGCCACGCCTCTGGGAGCTCACTGAGGGCCACGGCGGCTCTCTTTCTCTCTCACCAGGTGCACTGCATGGACGACGTCTGCGGGCTCCTGCCCTTCCTCAACCCGGAGGTTCCAGACCAGGTGTACCGCCTTTGGCTCTCGCTCTTCCTTCACGCAGGGTAATGCTGGACCCAAGGCGGCGGCCTGCCCCCCCAGACCAGTCTCCCCCCCCCCCGAACTGCTCACAGGGGGGGCAGTTCCCGCGACCTGACTCCCTCTCCCCTCCCAGCAGGATCCTGCACTGCCTGGTGTCCGTGTGCTTCCAGATGACCATCTTGCGCGACCTGGAGAAGCTGGCCGGCTGGCACCGCATCGCCATCATCTACCTGCTGAGCGGCATCACGGGGAACCTGGCCAGCGCCATCTTCCTGCCCTACCGGGCTGAGGTACAATGCAGCCAGGGCGGCTCTCTCGGGGCAGGGACAGTCACACACACCGAACTGAGCAAAATAAATCCATTTATTGTACAGTACATTTAATATATATTTATATATATACTAGGAAAAAGGCTCGTTGTGGAAATAAATACAACGGCCTCTAGAAAGAGGCTCTGGGTGGGTGCCTCCGTCCTTGAACACTCAGTGTCAATTTGCTGTGGTGACCTCAGCAGGGTATAATGACACTGAGTCCACCATTTTCTCCAGAGGAACTGATCTCTGCTACCTAAAGAACAGTTGTAATTCTGAGTGATCTCCAGCCCTCACCTGGAGAATGGCAACGATAGTTCCCCAGAAGGGAATGCTTGGTTTGGAGGGCGAAGTCCGTGGCTTTGTACCTGTCTGAGGTCCCGCGCATTCTGAAACCTCACCCTCTCCAGGCTCCGTCCCTCACATCTCCAGGAATTTCCCACCTGGAGTTGGCAACCCTATCTCCTTCCCAGCCAATCATCAGCCTACCTTTTTTCCTCCTCACTCTTCAGCTTTCCACCCCCACACACACCTGCAGCCTCTCCTGTGCTCTGAAGCCCTGACTGCTACGTCACATTGGCTGTCATACGGGGGCCACCTCAGCACCATATAAGGATAGAGAGCCCACCATTTTCTCCAGGGGAACTGATCTCTGCCATCCGGAAAGCAGTTGTAATTCTGAGTGATCTCCAGCCCTCACCTGGCGATTGGACACATTTTACCTCAGAATAGCAAACTGTTTAGAATGTTAGAGGCAAAAGCCCATCAAGTCGCATATGCAAACGACCTCTGTGTTCCAAGGCAAAGGCCAATAAGGCTGCATATGCAAATAACCTCTGTGTTCTGACTGGCTATTGGGGGGAGAGGAACAGCAAAATGTTTAGAATGTTGGAGGCGAGACTCAAGCAATGCAGCCAGTGGATAGGGACAGATTCTGAGTGACACACCAGGGCGCCAACCAATTCCGGAGCGTGTGGAATGTTCTAGAGAAGTGCCACCACCATTCAGCTTTTATATATAAGGGAGATATACACACAGATGCATACAAATACACATCAATAACAAGTGTTGATTCCTGAAAAATTAATTAATTTTTTTTTAAAACCCAGAAAATGTGTATTCGTGATCACTGAAGAAGTCCCACAGGGCAGAAATGCATTTGGCCTTGTTCAGTGCAGTTCAATGTTGGGATAGGCATATGTATTTTATATTGTACACTGAGGACCAGTGTTCCCTCTAAGCTGAGTCAGTGTGAGCCAGCTCACAGTCTTTCAGCCTCGGCTCAGACATTTTTGTCTCCGCTCAGGAAGGAGGGGGCTCCAGAGCAAACTCATTCGTGCCCTAGCCAAATGCCTCGCTCACAGCTTGAATGCCAGTAGTAGCTCACAAAGTAGAGTTTTTGCTCACAAGACTCCACAGCTTAGAGGGAGCATTGCTGAGTACTATTTACATCCAGTGCTGAAGCTGAATTCAGGCCCCGTGTTTTTAAATTTGTACTTTAAGTGGACTGTATAATACATTATTTTAATTCCTTTTTATATTGTTTTTGCTCAGACCGTGGTACCTAATGCAATGTTTGGGTTGCTGGGTCCCCCCCCCCCTTTTTTGGCGTGTGGGTTTCCTGAGGCCCCGGGTGGGGGCCCTGCTGCTGCTCAGAAGGCCACTCCATCCCAGGGCAGTGCCCCACCTGGGCCCGGAGTTCTCTCGCCCTGGGCAGCTCTTGGAGGAAGAGGCCGGTGCCCACCTCCCACGGTTGCCTTCCCTTCCTGGCGGAGTGGGGGGGGGGAGAGGAGTTGGAGGCAGAAGGTAGGCAGGGAAGGCGCTTCCCAACCTAGCGGAGTCTTGCTCCCAACTTTCCCTGCTTGGGCACCTGGGAGGCCTCCCAGAATGAGGACGCAAAGGCCAGAGCAAGGGAGCAACAGGGCTGCAACAGCTGCTGCCTGCCGACTGACCAATGCTCTTTCTCCCCCCCGCCACCTTTCTGCAGGTCGGCCCTGCGGGCTCCCAGTTTGGCATCCTGGCCTGCCTTTTCGTGGAGCTCTTCCAGAGCTGGCAGATCCTGGCTCGGCCCTGGCGGGCCTTCTTCAAGCTGCTGACCGTGGTGCTATTCCTCTTTGCCTTCGGCCTCTTGCCGTGGATCGACAACTTCGCCCACATCTGCGGCTTCATCAGTGGCCTCTTCCTCTCCTTTGCCTTCCTGCCCTACATCAGCTTCGGCAAGTTTGACTTGTACCGGAAGCGGTGCCAGATCATCGTCTTTCAGCTGGTCTTTGCCGGCCTCTTCTCCGGCCTGGTGGTCCTCTTCTACTTCTACCCCATCCGGTGCGAATGGTGCGAGTTCCTCACCTGCATCCCCTTCACAGACAAGTTCTGTGAGAAGTACGACCTGGATGCGCAGCTCCACTGAGCGTGGCCTTCGCCCGCGGCAGGCCCTTCCCGACCCCGGGGGGGCCTCCCTCTTGCCTCACCCGAGCTGCCTTATCTGCCAGACTGGACTGTCCGCTGCATACAGAAATAACGTCTGTGCCTTGTTCGATTTCGCAGAACCTTCTGTTTTTATCGTGCTAGTTTCCAAATGGCCCTTTTAAACAAGATTTGATACCTGTTGCCCAGGTGGTAATTAAAACACTACAGGTAGCGTTTTAGCTACATTTTCAAAAGTTCTATGCTGTTCCTGTGCTGGTTCGTGCTCTAGACAAACAAGTCTCAGTTCAGCTGTACACACCTCTCCTTATTTCAGCACTAGAGATGCCAAGTTCTGAACAAAGGTGGATTAATTGTAGATGCCAGACGTTTAAAATTAAGGTGGGCTTGATTAGGAAACCATGCCTGTCTGGTATAAATGCCTTTCCAGAGTCTGGAGCTGGGAGCAGGCTTCCTGCTGGTGGGTCTGCAGCCTCTCGCCTTCAGAATGTTGAAGGGCTTCACCGCAGGCTGGATCCTGCTCCTAGCGCCTGCCGTTTCTACTGCAGCCCAAATACCCGACGACAACACCACAGACCCGCATTGCACTTGTGTTTTATTGGTGAGATGGGAATAGCCACTTGGGTCGTCAGCTGCGTGGAGGGCTTGGCTGATGCAGCCGCATCCGCTTCTCAGGAGCCGCTTTCCAGCCTCCCTGCTGCTGCAGCTCTGCTGGTCCCTTTACAAGTGCCGCTCGCTTATGACGCTCACAGAACAGCTATCAAGAATTGGCCTGCTCCAAGGAGCAAAGCCTGGGAGCGGCTGAGGGTAGAAGGCCCCTTTTCTCCCATCTCCACCGGTCCCCTGCTGGTGGGCCCTGCAGCTGTGAGTGCAGCCCCAACAATCCTGGGCAGAGCAGCCCCCAGGTGGCTGTCAAGATGGCCTGCCTTCCTCTGGCTCAGTCAGTGTGCCGGCTCTTCTCTGCAACTGGAAACCAAAGAAGAAGGAGAGATTGGTTTTATACCCCGCCCTTCACTCAGAGTCTCAGAGCGGCTTACGAACCCTTTTCCCTTCCCCTCTCCTCCCCACAACAGGCACCCTGTGAAGTAGGTGGGGAGCTGGGAGAGCTCTTGACAGAAACGGCTCTTTTTCAAGAACAGCTCTTATCAGAACTACTGCTTGCCCAAGGTCATCCAGCCAGGTGCAAGTGGAGGAGTGGGGAATCAAACCCGGTTCTCCCAGATTAGAGTCCACGCACTCAATCACGACACCAAACTGGTTCTCACTGTCACTACTCAAGGGCCCCCCCCCCATCTCCAGGGCTCAAAGAGAGGAGATGCAAGCAGCCCCCCCCCCCGCCCGGGGCCATCAGGTGGTGGGAGGGGGAGAGAGCCGTGAGGCATCCTCTGGAGAAGAGGAGCCCCCCAGGAACAGTCGGGAGAAGGGGGGGGGACACCCGACTCACTGGGCAGGGTTCACTTGCGGAGTCTCTTTACGAAGCTGACCTCGTCCCGGTTCCGGATGCCGTACCTGCAAGCAGCACCGCGGTTGTTGATCAGGGCCTGGCCGGCAGCACCCCACCCCCACCCTCCCAGGGACTAGAGCCCCCACTTCCCCCCACTCACTCGCGCAGCGTCTTGCGGTCATTGTCGAGCTTCTCACTGCCAAAGGCCAGGATGTAGGTCCGCCACACGTGCCTCCTGCCGGCGAGGGGAGAAAGAGTCAGCTAGTCCGGGTGGGGGGGCGCCCACTCCCCCCCCCAGCTGCTACGGTTACCACCTCTGGGTTGGAGAATTCCTAGAGACCGGGGGGAGGGGGTTGGGGTGATGTCCCCCCCCCGAGGCTGAGCCCTGCTCCCCCCTGGAGATCAGCCCTGATGCCAGTGTGTGTGTGTGTGTGTGTGCCCCCTCTCACCAGCTGAGGTGCTGCACGCCGCTCTGCCTCTCCTGCCTGAGCTGCACGAAGCGCTGCACCGCCTTCTTCAGGTCCAGCACCGTCGCCTGCTGCACCACCACCACGGCTGCGCCGGAGGGAGGGAGGGAGGAGGGCTTAGGATAGGGGAGGGCTCTGAGGCCTCCAGACCAGAGTATCCCCCCCCCCCATGTCAGAACTCCAAAGCCGCCCCCCCTGCAATGGTTGGGGACCCACGCTTCCTCTAAGCCGTGGAGTCTTGTGAGCAAGAATTCTACTTTGTGAGCTCCTGGCATTAAAGTCGTGAGCCAGCAATGTGGATACTGCATAAATCCGTTTGCTCTGGAGCCACATCCTTCCTGAGCGGAGACCAAAATTTTATTTGAATTTTATTTATGTGAATTTTATTGGTACCCATGTACCAGCGAGCCTGTTCGCGGGGAGGGCGGGGCATAAACTGAATTAATAAATAAATTAAGTAAATAAAAATGTGTGAGCCAGAGGCTAAAAGAACTGTGAGCTAGCTCACGCTAACTCAGCTTAGAGGGGACACTGGAACCAGGCCCGCCCCTCTGCGCATGCTCAGCGCCACCGCCGCCGACTCACGCATGGGCTCCTGGAGGGCGTCCGCTCTGCGCACGCGCACCGTCATGGCCTGGCCGTACTCGAGCGCCACCTGCGAGGCGATCTCTTCCGGGGTCACCTGAGCGGGGGAGAGAGAAGAGCGCGCTCGCGATTGGTCGCCCGCTTGAGCGACAGCCACACGGCCCGCCCCCGCCATCGCCCCCGGGGCCTACCTGCGCCGGCAGGTCGCAGAGCAGCGGGTCCCGGACGAGGCGCGCCAGGCCGGCCTGCCAGAGCTCCATCGCCTCCTCGTGCGCCAGCTCCTCCTCCTCCTCGCCCCCGGCCGCGGCCTCCTCCTCCTCCGCCGCCGCCATGCTGCTCTTCTGCCCGGCCTGCGGGAACGTGCTGGTGGCCGAGGAGGGCGCGCGCTGCCACCGCTTCGCCTGCACCACGTGCCCCTACGTCCGCAACGTCACGCGCAAGGTGGGTGTGGCCTCCCCCTCCAGGCGGGCCCGGGAGGCCTCCCGCCCCCCACTCCCCCGGGAGGAGGGG